TATATATATATATTATTTCTAATAAGTTTTGTCCATAACTTTTTTTAGGGAATAATATTCAAAGTTATTTAATAGTGACATGCAAGAATAAAAATATATTTATGTTGAGAAAAAAATTGCATAAAACTAGGTCATATTTATTGAATGAATTAAATTTGAGCTCTCTACCAAACTTATATTATCATTTCTAATATTACACCCAATAAAAATAAGTTTATGATTAAAGACCAAAGCTAATTTTCTATATAATGCTTAAAATTTATTATTTGCAAAATTAATAAAATTTAATTCATATAGTCATATAATTGCACATATTTTCACGTTAATTGATTTAAGTTGAATATTAATATTGTTAACGGTGCATGATTTTATGTATTATATGTCTAAATGTTGAGTAAAGTGCTAAAATAGTCCCCGACTATTTACACGGGTCGTTTTAATCCCAAATTTTACAGGAACGACAAAATAGTTCATGACTATTTTAAAATTGAGCTCTAATAGTCCACCATGAGAACTATTTCAGCCTCAATTTGCATGATTTTTTGCCTTCGACATGTGTCATATTAGGTGTCCCTTTGAGCACTGCCACTTGAAGTATCTCCCCTACATGTGTATGACCTGTGTTTGGGGCTCGATACTTGCACTCCTCTGGTGATTGGCGGCTGGCTATGCTAGTTTGTGGTGTGTGAATTTCTCTAGAGGACACACCCTTCACCACTTCTGGTACCATTTGGTTGCCACAAGCTTTGCATGTTGTTCACTCAATTCGGGTCATGCATTTGAGCCTTTGAACCCATTGAGTGTGCAGCATGTGTGTTTTTGAGTTCCGTCATTTGTATCCTGCTTGATGATATTCCATCGAGTTTGCTCATATCCCATTTAGTAATCACAGTGTTGAAAGTTGTGTGATTTCTACTTGCATTTGCATTTGTCATCATGCTCTAGTACTTCCTCCCCCACTTGTTGCTGTTACACCTCCTATGGCACCTCCTCCCCCACAAGGTACTACAACAACTCTTGTGGCACCTCCTCTCGCCCCCGTTATTGCTACCGTTACAGCCGATGATATCTGTGCAAGAAGATGAAGAGGAGGAAGAGGATACAGATGATGGTAGTTTTTTTTAACTTTTCTTTATTTGTAAGCATTATGTTGAACGTTTATTGTGTAATGCTTGGATTAACTTTATTATCTTTCATTGGGACAATTTGTAGCAGTATTTTCCTTTTATTAATAATATTGTTTAAAGATTTAATCTGTGATATGATTATGCTTAATGTGGTATATAATGTTGGTTGCGAAATGTATTTTTCTGCAGGTTGTAGAAATGTAATTGATATTCTAAATTTTTTATTTAGTGTCACAGATTTGCATTGGATTTAAGTTCCTTTTTGGATGCAAAATTCAACGCTAAATCAATAATAATATTTCTTTATCCAACGACATTTTTACATGTAAATGAGACGGTAATCCAACACGAATATTCATCGTCTGATAATTTTTTATGCATATTCCGACACACTTTTTGCATAAATAATTTTGACGTTAATACAGAGCAAAAACTGACACAAATTATTTGTAGCGAAAAACTTCTATGTACATTGGATGAAATTAACATTAGCGACCCTCGAATTAACATCGAAAAAAATCAGACGCAAATGTGACGATAACTTAAATGACATCAAATTTGCATCTGATCTACGTCTGATATGTCCGACACAAATATGCTTAATTCTTATAGTGTCTTCAGTTCAGAATAACACTTTAATTCTTCTTCTCCCCCTTGTCAAGTGAAGAGATTGGCCTATTTCTAACATCTGGAAGATAGACATTTTGATCATTGGCAAATATATTCCGTAACCATTTGATCGGACGGCTCATATTTATCCCCCTTGATCATTAGATTTTTTTTTAGGTTCTTAATGATCTCAAAATTAAACAAACTTAGATTCGTTTGATTCCTCTTGCCGAAACGCTCGATTTAACTATAAGTATGTTGTGAAATTTAACCATCCAAAGCCTCCAAGTGCTATAATGGCATAATTTGAGCTTTATTGGACTCTGATTGAATAAATTATTGTATCATCGGGTTTGTCTTGCCTAGACTGTTAGTTTGACTATAAACTTGCTGAAATTGATGCCCCAAATAATGTTTAAATTGACTCTGGAATAGCTCTTGTTCAAAAATACTTTGAGATTCGTGTCAAATGATAAATTTTGTTGATGTCAAATTATTATTATTTATTAAGTTAAAATAATAATATGTTGTGCAAATATTATGCAAAATAAAAGCACATAAAATATGCATAGTTCTATTCATATAGGGATCAATTCTACTACAAATGAAGAAATAATAATTACATATAACAAGAAAAGAGATAATGCAAAAAAAAACATTAATTATTAAAGCTAAATTAGTCTCATGGCATGATGGTGCTTAGACCCAC